GCCTAAAGCAGCTACTAGTCTACAATCAGTTTGCCTCGGTAGGTTCAGGACAACAGACTCAATGAAGGAGGTCATAAGAATAAGAAAAACGAGACTTCATAATTATAGTAGTTTTTTACCTTCGAATAATACTGTAGAGTTCTGGCCTAGCTCTCATCCAGTCAGCAAAACTGCTGCTGTGACCAGCAGACTACTAGGACAGACTACAGCCCTTTCTGAATGAATGTATACAGCAAAACATATTAGAAAGTAGTATCTCTCCAAGTATTCTGTAAAAAAAAGAAGAGTGATGCCTCCCTCTTCATTTCATCTGGTTCCCGCAGAATGTTATTGGGGCTGCGGCTGGGCTGCAATTGCCTCACGCAAGTTCTAAATATAATCAAGATGAGAATTAAATAAAAAAATTCTATGTGAAAAAGAAAATTATTTCTGAGAAATATGGTCTTAGATTCACAAGTACAGATACCTGCATTGAAGCACACTTCAATAATCTTATCTACTTGTCTTTTTCCCCTCAACACCACCCTGGAAAAATGTGAAATATTAGGACAGATAAAGCATATGCTGGGTCTTTCACAGGTAATAAAGTTTTATGCCAATACCTCTAAACACAACCAACCTCTTCTTACAACTGCATATTCTCCCCTGCGAATTGCCTCCTCTGAGTTACGCATATGATCACCACATCAGTGGTACATGAAGAAAATTCTACCATTGAACTGCTTCGTGGAAAACCTATCACATATTAACATGATATTTAACACTTCGTTAATGGCATGGCTGCCTTTTCAACTGGTATGCCTTGTTGTTTAGGTAAATCAAATACTAATAAGAACATATGGAGTCTAGTAATAGAATTATATCACGTTGAACATATTTTCAATTTTCTTTCCAAGCACTAGCCCTCACTAGTCTTAAACAAGGGTTATTCAATGTAAACAATATCAACCCCAAATCCATAGAGAAGCAAAGTACCTCTCATTTAATAAATAACTACCTGCTCTCATTTTTTCCTTCAAATGAAAAATGTCAAGACCAGATGTAGAATATGAAAGAATCCACTTTCTAGTATTGACTATTCTTAGATAAATTATGAAAAAGCACAAGAAAATGGGCAGTAAAGTCAGAAAATTGAAGGAATTAAAGTAAGAAGTACCAGAGTCTCCAATTCGGTTAAGGTAAACCAAAGTTGCAATGACCATTCCAGTTGTAGTTCGGCCACGTCCCATTTGACAATTAAAATTACCTCTGTATTTACATCAGCCTGGGAAATTTTGTGAACCTAAAATCATAATGAAAGTAGTTAAAACACATGAAACATCACGGTTTTCAGGGAATGAGAATGAGTTTTCTTTGTAAAGATTTTTCGTACCAAAGCATCAAAATCCATTTCTTTTGGTGATTTTTCATCAGTTATAGGAACGCGTTCATAATCAACAAGGTATCCTGCCATTTGCAATTCTTCATACACCTATAGTAAAGAAAACAAGTTTGATAAGTCCATTAAGAAAACTGACAGTAGCCTCAAGAAACAGGTTCCACACACCTCTAGTGGTGTCTTCACAGAATTACATGACACTGGTTCCATTGGTCTATCATCTGACCATCTGGCAGCTCATCGGTCACAAGAATCTTATTTCCATATCTGTTAAATCAAGGTGCAGTTAAGCTTGGCTATCAAGCATGGAAAAGTTGCTGATAATAAGTACGAAAATGAATTGCATGTGGCAGACAGGAACTAAATAGCGTAGGGTCTCATACCTTGCAGCTTCCGACAGGATGTCTTCTTTCAAACGATCTTCCATTTGCTCAACCCTTTCCTGTTGATACCCTAATAAAGTAGAAAGTGCCCAGAACCAGTCAGAAGGCATACCAACTTCGGCTGTACCTTTAGTTATCTCATTACAACCACAAAGAAGATAATCCCAAGCGGTAAAGGTAATATTAGATAAACAGCCATCATAAAACCTAGACATTCCACATAAACATGGACCGTTAAGCAAAAAGAACACACCAAGTTAAAGCACTAAGAATTTAACAACAATATACCGTGTACTCAAGGTTGGAGAATGGTTTCTCCCACATCACGTAGAACAAAGGGCCGTCCATTAATGTACACAACCTGATTAGAAGAAAAGGAGATAGAAGTGAAATTTTAGAAAAGATGCCATGAGTATTTTTAGAGAATATTTTTTTATTTAAAGAATGGTTATTTGCTCAGAATAAAAATTCACAGAATGCAATGATTACAAATTATTAATTAAGCATGTGCAGAGTGTGAGTGTCAGCTATGATAGTTGGTTAGGAAGCCTGTAAAAGGGAATGTATCCGAAGGACTAGATGGCTTATGTTTACAATAGTTCAGATAATCCTCGGTTTCTAATCTCTGTTCTATGAATCTCTCTCTTTCTCTTCCCTTTATTCATGAACATATTTGACTCTTGAAAAGTTAAAGCTAAAAACCATAAAGAATGCCATGGGCATGATGCATAGAGGTTCCAATAGCCTCCTTCGTGGGAAGATAGGGGAAAGAAATACTCAAAAATAAAACGGGGCATACTTTTAACTATATTTTAATAAATTGATAGATAAAATATCAACTAGCGCATAAGAGCATTAAATATGACTATGTATTAAAAAAATAAGCAAACTGAGTTGCTACAGTCACAAGCAAACAGACATACTGGTTCCTCGCGAAGGTTAATCCAAAGAACTTGTGCTCTCCTCCCTCCAATTTGGGCACCAATATGCTTGAGAACATTTTGTATTCCATCAATTGTTGGGATAGCAACGCCGTGAACATGTAAGGAGTCAGCCTAGCAATATTAATCATTAGAAAAAGTAAAAGACGTCAACAAGGTAAAAAAACGCAATGCAACGCAACTTAACAAGAGGAACAGGTATGTCGGGTTCAGCAGTGCCGACAACAAGGTAAACAAAAGAATTGATAATTGAATCTGAATGTTTACACAGTCATACATATATAAACATCGAGCTAACTAACATTCTATTACATTCTATTACCTAATTAACTTTGAATAGTCTCAGAACTAACTACGTCGGTTAAGTGCTTATTGCTAAAGCGATTCAGACACCTAAAAAAATATAATTGAAGACCGGTTTTCCTCATATCGGAAATTGTATAAAAATCAATCCGAAACTCCGTTCTCAATGAATCCCAAATGACTCTAACAAAGCTTGGGTTTCCCAGAAGCCAAAAGCAGGTAAAATAGCAGCAATAGTATTTAATTGAAGACGCAGTAAATTTGATTCTTTCCGGAATTAGACCTATCAGAACAATTGAGTCCAGCTGAGGCCACTGAACAGAAATGCAGTAAGCAGAAGCAAGGCCAATAAAGGATAAGAAGAATGACATTAATTACTAAATACCTGGCGATAATTGGGAGCACCTTCGATCTGAGGAGACAAACGTTTGTTCTGGCAACCAGGAAAATGGTCGCTTTTCAAAATTGTCTTCTTCCCCAGAACTGATCCTCCTCTAGCCTTCATCACCTGCTCCAGCTCTTTCGGTAACGACATGTTTTCTAACCCCCTCCAGAACTTTCACAACTCACTCTCTTCCTCACACGTAGCCCAAACAAGCGCGCGGGCACTCGTACTTTCCGTTGATACTTCTATTTTCCTCTTCTTTGTTTAAATCAAATCTTCCACGATTCAGTTTCGTTATTGAATCATAAGCCAAGAGCTCACAGCAATGGAAATGCAGAACGAAAGGAAAATCTCAGAAATGGCTAAAATGGTTGTCACACATCATTCGAACGTACAAGTGATTTTGGTTTTTTTCTATTTGTTGTCCACCTTCTGAAAAGGTTGGAAGAAGTGAATTTGCCTTTGTCTTCGTCGGTTTAATCCTCCCGTAAAACTTCCTGATTTATTGTACCCCCGGTTTTCCTGACAAGAGAATGACTCGTCGGCTTTATATATACGTGTTCTAAATCCTCCGTTCTCGAGTCCAGACAATCCAACGTGAAAGTCGTGCGGATGTGATAATATGCGAATCTTTTATTTCTTTTGTAAGTCGGTTTTGTGTATACATAACTACCGGCCATCCTTTATTTTTGAGAAAAAAGACAGAAAAATACCATTTAAATTTGATCGGCTGAATTTGAAAAATTTCAAGAGACCAAATTAGGATTATTATGTTAAAAAAAAAGATCAACTGCCCTTCATTTATTTATTATTTTTAAATATCAAAGCTCCCACTAGTCGGCCGGTCATTGAAGTTCCCGTAGCGGGTCACTGGAGCTCCGGCGACCGGCCGACAATTGATCACCAGAGCTCTGGTGGTCGGAAATAATTTTTTAAAAATTTTTACAACTTCAGTATAACGGTTAATAGCATTTGTAACACTATTAACAACTTCAATATAACAATTAACAACAGGTTTTCTGGGAAATCAACAAGCTCCGACAGCCGGAAATAATTTTTTTGAAAATTTTTACAATTTCAGTATAATAGTTAACAACTTTTGTAACGCTGTTAACAACTTCAACATAGCAGTTAACAACAGGTTTTTTGAGAAATTCAACAAGCTTTGGCGGCCAAAACAATTTTTTTGAAAATTTTTACAACTTCAGTATAACAGTTAACAACTTTTGTGAGACTATTAACAACTTCAATATAGCAGTTAACAACAGGTTTTCTGAGAAATTCACAAGTTTCGATGGCTGGAAACAATTTTTTTTGAAATTTTTACAACTTCAGTATAACAGTTAACAACTTTTGTGACGCTATTACAATTTCAGTATAGCAATTAGCAACAGGTTTTTCAGAAAATTTAACAAGGCTCGTCGGAGCTCTGGCAGCAGGAAACAATTTTTTTTTGAAAATTTTTTTATAACTTTCATATAACGGTTAACAACTTGTGTAACGCTATTAACAACTTCAATATAGCAGTTAACAACAGGTTTTCAGAAAAATGCTACTTTTTGAATTTTTTAGAAAATTTGTTGTTAACTGCTATACTAAGGCTTTAATAACATTACAAAAGTTGTTAACCGTTATATTGAAGTTGTAAATTTTCCCCAAAAAACTATTGCTAAAGTTGTAAAAGCTATTTTTTTGAAGTTTTTTAGAAACATGTTAAATGCTATACTGAAGTTGTTAATAGAGTTACAGAACTTTTAACGGTATTATTGAAGTTATAAAAATAACTACTTTTTGAATTTCTCGAAAACATGTTGTTAATAGCTTTACAAAAGTTGTTAACCGTTATAAAAAACGCGTTGTAAAAAATTTTAAAAAAAATTGTTTCTGCCGCCAGAGCTTCGGCGACCATTGTTGAATTTTCCGAAAAACCTATTGTTATTTGCTATACTAAATGTTTAATAGCGTCACAAATTGCTATCGTTTCTGAATTGTAAAAGTTTCAAAAAAATTATTGGGAAAATTACTGTAGAGTCCCACAGAAGACAATTTACTACCAGAAGGTCCCATGAAATCCCCAAATTCCTATGAGGTCCCAAGGGACCTTATAGCAAAAAATTTGAAACTTGCAATTACTTTCTTGCCCTTTTTGATTAGAGAAAGTAACCGAAGCACACTCAAAATCGTTTCGGTTTTCATCTTCGCGAAATCGGCCGCGCGCTCACACTCCGTCGCCCGCTCACACTCCGCCGCCGTGTCGTTGGTGCTTTATCCTTGTGTGCTCCGACAGGTTCAATCTCCGGCGAGGTCTGTTAGTTTCTGGTTGGTACATTGTCGGTCGGTGCTCCGCATTCGGTCACTCTCTGGTCCAACGCCTTCAATCCCCTGCGCGGTCCATCGGTCTCGGGTCTGCACGCCGTCAGTCTGTCGTCCGCAGTCCGTCGGTCTCTCGTCCGCCGCCGTCGCCGTCTTCTCCGACGCATTGAACGGTTTCAATCTCCAGCACAGTCCGGCCGACTCTGGTCAGCACTCCATCCCTCTCTGGTCCGCACTCAGTTGCCGTCTGCTCCGACGCCGTGAACTCTCTGGTACAGTCCGGTGGTCTCTCTACTAACGCCTCAATCTCCAGACAACTAGTCTCTCTCGGTTAGAATATTTGACAATTTGAAGCTTCTTGGTCATATTTTGAAAAATGTTTGGTTTGGAATGTTTGAACATTTGAATTGTTGATTGTTCGTAAAAGCTGCTCGATGACCTGAAGTGGTTTGGAATGTTCGGTTGTTTCGTGTGTTTATATATGGAACCAGTGATAACCGTGACTTGTATTTTCACTGTGATATTAGAAATGTGATGTATGTGGATATTACAATGATCTGACATGCGAATAAAAGTTAGGGGCAAAAGTTGGGGCTGGTTGGTACAAAGTTATATTAGAGATCAGTTTGAAGAACACTGGTTAAAATTGTCAAAAATATGATTTGGTAGAGCTTTTTAAATGCAGCAATCAGTTATTGTTAATATTGCTGAATTAAAAGGGAGAACTTTATGTAATTGATTTGTTCGGCAATAAAATAATAAAGGTTTTGTTTGGCTTTTTATGGTGGGCTCCATGGTGGAATGTTAATTTGGCCATAAGGTCAGAAAGGGAATTGCTTGTTGGATATAGCACCTATTGGCTCTATACTATAACCAATGAAGGGAAATTCATTCTGGTGGATTGATTTGTGATCCATATTATTTACTGCCGTTCATTGCTTTCTGTCATCCAAAGGGATATATTTTGATTTTGTTGATTAGTGAATAATTTGGTGGTGTTGAAGATACTTACTATTTTAAAATATATGTTGATGATAGTAATTTTTTTCCTTTTTGCAGTCGAACAAAATGACTAAAAAGAGTAAGAGTAAAGATGGACAAAGGGCTAGGAATTTCTCCGGATACATATTATTCACTGAAGAGTTTTATGAGCAGAACAAGAAGAAGTTTAAGTCTTTTGAAGAGGGCACTAACTCTGTGAAAAAGGCTTGGGGGAACTTAACAGAAGAGGAGAAAGAACAATATGGTGAAAGGGCTAAAGAAATGAGAGTCCCACCAAAAGGGAAGAATTATATTGTTCCCTTTCACACACGCTGTGCTCCGGGACAATTTATGGAAGTCTGCAAGCAATTAAAGAAAAGTAAAGAGAAGATGGAAAGACTGAAAAGAATAGGTTTTGATAAATTGGTTGACATATGCTGCTCACAGATCTATAGAGATTTTTGTGGTGAATTGATCCGTGTGTTTGACCCTGTAAGTAGGCAAATTTCAATTCGAGGGAAGACGCATTTAGTGGGGCCCGAAGATGTAAATGAATTGATGGGTCTACCATTTAAGGGGGAAGATATTAAAATAAATGTGGAGAATGAAGATGAAACGTTCAAGAAATTAAGGAGTGACTACGGGAAAGTGCCATACAAAACAATAGGAACATGGTTGATTGAAGGAAAAGAGGAAGAAAAGTTTGAATTCCTTTTTGTTATGTATGCACTAGGAGTCCTCTTGTGTCCTGGCTCTAGTGTATGGGTGAGTGATAAAGTGTTGAAAGTCATGGTGGTGACAAAGGATAGTTTAGGACACTATGATTGGAGCAGCTTAGTTTTGAAAGAATTCTGCAACTCAATTGCAGAGTTCAAGAAAGGAAAGAAGAAAGGAAAAGCTGATGGGACGAAAAATGTGGGAGGTTGCATGTACTTCCTAATGGTAAGTGTGGGTATGATTCATTTACTTTGATGTTAGTTTATTGTCAATGTGCTGTGTAGGTTGTGATTGGTTGCTCTGTATGTTGTTATTTACTACTCTGTTGTCAATGTGCTGTGTAGGTTGTTATTTACTATGCTGTCAACTGCTTATGTATAGGTTGTGATTTGCTGGTGTCAAGGTTGTTATAGTACTGTGTGCAGGTTGTTAATGGATTGTGTTGGTTTGTCACCTGGTTATGTATAGGTTGTTTCGTGTTGTCATTCGGTTTATCGTGGGTTGTCAATGGCTGCTGTGCATGTTGTGAATGACACAACTGTAGGTTGTGATTAGCTGATGTGTAGGTTGTGACTGTATGTTGTGGAGGTTGTTATTTTCCTGTGTTCAGTTGTCATTAGGATGTGTTGGTTTGTCACCTGGTTATGTATAGGTTGTAATTGCAGTCTGTTCGTGTTGTCATTCTGTTGAGTATGGGTTGTCACTGGATGCTGTACATGTTGTGAATGGCGCAAATGTATGTTGTGACAGGGTTATGTGTAGGTTGTGATTGGTCACTGTGTATGTTGTTATTTACTACTCGATGTCGTCAGTTGGAGAAATGTACGCTGTGAACTGGTTATGGATATGTTGTGACTGTGAAGTGTAGAGGTTGTTATTGTCTTGTGTGCAGGTTGTCATTAGGATGTGTTGGTTTGTCACCTGGTTATGTATAGGTTGTAATTGCATTCTGTTCGTGTTGTCATTCTGTTGAGTATGGGTTGTCACTGGATGCTGTACATGTTGTGAATGGCGCAAATGTATGTTGTGACAGGGTTATGTGTAGGTTGTGATTGGTCACTGTGTATGTTGTTATTTACTACTCGATGTCGTCAGTTGGAGAAATGTACGCTGTGAACTGGTTATGGATATGTTGTGACTGGCTGGTGTAGAGGTTGTTATTGTCTGTGTGCAGGTTGTCATTAGGATGTGTTGGTTTGTCACCTGGTTATGTATAGGTTGTAATTGCATTCTGTTCGTGTTGTCATTCTGTTGAGTATGGGTTGTCACTGGATGCTGTACATGTTGTGAATGGCGCAAATGTATGTTGTGACAGGGTTATGTGTAGGTTGTGATTGGTCACTGTGTATGTTGTTATTTACTACTCGATGTCGTCAGTTGGAGAAATGTACGCTGTGAACTGGTTATGGATATGTTGTGACTGTGAAGTGTAGAGGTTGTTATTGTCTTGTGTGCAGGTTGTCATTAGGATGTGTTGGTTTGTCACCTGGTTATGTATAGGTTGTAATTGCATTCTGTTCGTGTTGTCATTCTGTTGAGTATGGGTTGTCACTGGATGCTGTACATGTTGTGAATGGCGCAAATGTATGTTGTGACAGGGTTATGTGTAGGTTGTGATTGGTCACTGTGTATGTTGTTATTTACTACTCTATGTCGTCAGTTGGAGAAATGTACGCTGTGAACTGGTTATGGATATGTTGTGACTGGCTGGTGTAGAGGTTGTTATTGTCCTGTGTGCAGGTTGTCATTAGGATGTGTTGGTTTGTCACCTGGTTATGTATAGGTTGTAATTGCATTCTGTTCGTGTTGTCATTCTGTTGAGTATGGGTTGTCACTGGATGCTGTACATGTTGTGAATGGCGCAAATGTATGTTGTGACAGGGTTATGTGTAGGTTGTGATTGGTCACTGTGTATGTTGTTATTTACTACTCTATGTCGTCAGTTGGAGAAATGTACGCTGTGAACTGGTTATGGATATGTTGTGACTGTGAAGTGTAGAGGTTGTTATTGTCTGTGTGCAGGTTGTCATTAGGATGTGTTGGTTTGTCACCTGGTTATGTATAGGTTGTAATTGCATTCTGTTCGTGTTGTCATTCTGTTGAGTATGGGTTGTCACTGGATGCTGTACATGTTGTGAATGGCGCAAATGTATGTTGTGACAGGGTTATGTGTAGGTTGTGATTGGTCACTGTGTATGTTGTTATTTACTACTCTATGTCGTCAGTTGGAGAAATGTACGCTGTGAACTGGTTATGGATATGTTGTGACTGGCTGGTGTAGAGGTTGTTATTGTCCTGTGTGCAGGTTGTCATTAGGATGTGTTGGTTTGTCACCTGGTTATGTATAGGTTGTAATTGCAGTCTGTTCGTGTTGTCATTCTGTTGAGTATGGGTTGTCACTGGATGCTGTACATGTTGTGCATGGCGTAAATGTATGTTGTGACAGGCTTATGTGTAGGTTGTGATTGGTCACAGTGTATGTTGTTATGGGGCAGTGTGTAGGTTGTGATTGGTCACTGTGTATGTTGTTATTGGGCAGTGTGTAGGTTGTGATTGGTCACTGTGTATGTTGTTATTGGGCAGTGTGTAGGTTGTGATTTTCCGCTGTTTATGTTGTCAGTGGCCTGTTTGGATGATGTTGTTGTATATCTAAGTTATCATTAACTTCACATGCAGATTTATTGCCTACAACACTTTCCTCTCGGAAAAGAAAAGGCGGCAAAAAATGAAAATGCCATTACTTATTGGGATGAGGAAAAAGTGAAGGCAAGAGTGAAATCAGAAAAGAATAGCGACAGAGGCATACTGCATGGCGTTCCGAGTGTCGGTGGGGCTTCAACAAGTGCATCCAACACAGGAATAAAGCTAACTCACCCTGTAAGTAAATCATGTGAAGCTTATTTTGGTGCTGTGTAGAATTTGGAGTAATGATAACTTTCATTACTGTTGTTTTGCAGGAAATCAAGAGAACGTATGAAAGGTTGATGACCATGGTTGAAGGGTTGGTGTCGACAATTGGAGAAGAGTTGGTTTCCCTGCAGTTGAGGTTGACGGATGAGATTGACAAGGAAGATGTGGTGGAAGCAGTAAGTAGCGAAGATGACAAAGAGAAGGCAACTGAAGATGAAGAAACCGGTGAAGAAGGTAAAGGAAGCCCAAAAGATTCAATTTTGTCACAAGAGGAACAACAGAGTGAACCAGAAGGAGATGATAAAGAAGAGGGCAAAAGTGCTTCGCGTGAAGAAGAGAGTCAATCTCAACCTGAGGAGAAAGGAGAAGGGAGTCACTCTGGATCAGAGGATGATGGAGAAGAAAAACACAAGACAAGTCTAGTGATGCAGCAGCAGAAGAGGATAAGGGTGTAGGCGATGAAATGGAGGAAAAGGATGAAATGGACCAGCAAGCACAAGGGCAAATGGATGTAAGAAGATCAACACGGGTGAGAAGCCGTGCAATCAAATCTCCCTGGTTAGAGGAGGTGAAAAAAGGCCGTGGCAAGAGAAAAGCTGACGAGAAAGAGGAATTATTCCAGATGTGCACGAGAAGATGTGATCAAGATGAAGGTGCCAAGTAAGTGTTGGGACTGATTGTAATTGGGACAACTGATTGACAACAATTTTACACATACAACCCTTGTGCTCATTGTTCCTTTTGCTGCAGGTACATTGTAGAGATGTATGGGTACTTCTTGACACGTGCTGAGCTTTGCTGCCTACAAGACAGGAAATGGATGAACGACAGGGTAAGACAGTTGTTTATATAGATAGAGAACTGCGAATGTCATTATGATCATGACTAACTGTTTGTATGTGTGATATAGTTCATGTCTATGGTGGCGAGAACCTTGGTGGGAGATGAAAAAGAGAACCACAGTCGTGTCAGTAGGCACATTTTTACACCCGAGTTAATGCAAACAATGGCCGCTAATCCTCTTAGGTGGAGCATGGAAAAACATGAACATGAAATCTTACCGGAGCACATAGGATATAACATTGGAGACTGTGACTTCATATTTGGCCCCACCCTTTTCAATTACCATTGGTTCTGTTACGTGATGGATGTAAGAACCATGCGTTTCTATGCCCTTGACTCGTTGGTGGACAATTTGACGATGTTGAGATTACAAAGAGAGGAAGAAGAAGCAATGAAAACAGGGAAGAAACCACAAAGGAAGCAAGGGAAGAAGAGAGGACAGATAGATCCTAAGCAATTCATGGCGAGAGGGATTGTATGCACAACTTTACATTCATTCTATAACTTGTTAATGCGTTATGGTTGCTTGTCTGCTTAACTGTCCTGGTTGTTAATGCCTGCTGATTACTTGTCATTCGCTACAGCGAAGGTTGTTAATGCTTCCTGATAACTTGTCATTCACAACTGTCAAACTTGTTTCTTCTGTTTGTCCCTTTTTTGCAGAGAGATTGTTTCTGCCAAGTGCTTCGTGTGCTGAAGCCATCACTGTTTGCGGAGGAGGACAAGATTGACGAGGAAGTCACATGGGCAAAAGTTCATGTGCAATCTGACACGTGAGTTATTTTTCAACACAACAAGTACTTGTGTCTCAACTTTTGGGAGCTAATGTTCATTCACTAAAGTACTTGTTTTTCCTTTGTAGGGACTCTTGTGGGGTGCATGTGTTGAGCTGGTTACAAACATGGGACGGCACTGAGTATGGTGATGACGGCTACACAATGCCTAAGTACTCCCCTGAAGAAATCCATGACTTGAAGGTTGGATGCTTGTGGTGGCTCGTGACTCATCGGAACAACCTGCATGGCGATGAAGTGCTATCTTTGCTGCGAGGAAACCCCCAAAGCAAGAGGAAGAAATAAATGACAAGCATATATTGTATTTACATTTATTTATTTGACAGCATAGTGACATGTGAACGTCAAGTTTACATTTTATTCTTTTCTTTGAGCATGTATGAATCCTGGATGTTAAGATATGTTAATGTGTTTTGATATCCTTTACTGGTTATCAAGTTTTTGTAAAGGCATTCATGTGTTTTCATCATGGCCACAAATGCAGACTGAATAAGACTGGATAAACAAATGGTACCCACGGTGACATCATAGGCATATATCAGAGTCCTCTCTGCCACATCTGTTTACAACCTCAACAGGGGTTGTTCACAACCTCAAAAGGGATTGTTGACAACCCGAACAGAATTGGTTAACAACTCAGTCGGGGTATAACACAGCTGTTAACTTAATTATATTATGAGCACATATAACGACCTTAATAGCAAAAATTGGGAGCATTTTAAAGTCATTAACAGCTTTAAAAGAACCAAATCATATTACAGCAGATTTTTATTCCAGCAATTCATTTACAACCTCAACAGGGATTGTTGACAACCCGAACAGAATTGGTTAACAACCTTCGCATTGCCCCTGACAACTGACGCTGGGGATACCACAACCTCCACATGAGATCTAATTCTAACCAAATCATATCATATTATGACTTTAACACAGCTCGAATGTCTTAAGAAATCACTGAACACTGGAAGTAGGAGAAATTGTCACTTTATATCAGTAACATAATTGAGACTGCTAATGACAACCTGCATGGCGTCTGATAACAAGTCCATTACAACCTATTCACCAGTACATCAAAAATACAGAAATGATGTTATATCAGATTACAACCAGGTGTCATTTACCACTTGATATATATATGTACAACATAACTACACCAAATTTACAACCTATTCAAAAAAGCATACGTGTTGCATGTGTGGATAATGACGGACAACTTGAGGTGTAGGTTATGACATTTACAAAAAAAATGCTGTCACAAGCATTCACAAAACGAAATATCAACAAGCCACCAGCAAAGCTCAACTTGGATTGGGGTTCTGGCAAGTCTTCACAGTGTGGCCTGGCTCATGGCATCTTCCACAGTGGTAAAGTTTTTTACTTTGAAATTGAGATTCAATCCTTCTTTTCTTTGGCCTCCCTGAGGGTCTTTTAGTGATTGGTGGCTGTAAAAATGTTCCCGTCATCATCTGCGTAACGGTGAGAGCTTCGGGACGAGGACAATCATGTGTCGCAATTGGCCTCATACTACTTGCATATATCTTCTCTTGGGCTGACAGCTTATAGCAATCATCTACAAATTCATAAACACTACCATGAAGTAGCTTTATCGCTGCACAGGCATGAGCACAAGGTAGTCCGCTCATTTGCCATGCTAAACAAGTGCATTTCTGAGCTGTGAGATCAACAGTGACACAAATTATTCCAGTAGGAGATGTAGTATCAACTTGAACTCGGTTATCTCCATAATATACAGTATGCATATTCTCCGCTCTTGCTACTTTTTCTTGCAACTTGGACTCAATATTTGGCCCAACGCCATTTGTCCAATTTTCCATTGCCATTTTGCTTGCAACCATCTTCTTGGCTAATTTCTCCATATGCTCATGTATGAGAACTGACACATTGTGCTTCCTCTCCTTCAAAATCCAGGCATTAAACGACTCCGCAACATTAGTAGTGATGTTATCCCATCGCTTAAACGGGAATTTGCTTAAAGCCCACCGATCTACATCTCCTTGAGTGTCAACCCAATCAGCCAATTGTGGACAGAATGATCTAAGTTTCCCCATTGCAGCAACATATTCATCCTCAATCCTTGCATAGGCGATTCCATCCAGCATTTTCAATGCAACGTCCTTTGAAGTACCTGAAACTCGTCCCCTGCCTCGGTTAATTTTTAAATAATGTGCACTAAAATTTTCTTTCACATGCCTATAACAAAAAGCATGTCTCTCGCCACCAAATATTGTTCGCACAGCACCTATAATGGCATTATTCCGATCTGAAACTATCGTTGTCTCCACTGATCTTGTGATGTCTTTGATGTTCTGGAGAAACCAAGCCCAATCATCATATGTCTCCCCACTAACTATAGCATATGCTAATGGAAATAGTTCATTGTCTGCATCATATGCATTAGCTGAAATCAATGTCCCCCTGTAAGGACCACTTAGATGACAGCCGTCTATATAAAGTATATGTCGACACCCTTCTAAAAATCCATTAATTGAGCATCCATAAGCAATGAACACCCTCTGAAATCTGTTACTATCCAACCCTTCCCATCGAGCACTTGTGTTTGGATCAGTTTCAATGAGCCTTTGACAAATCCAGGGAATCGCCATGTATGAATCCTGTGCACGACCATGTATTTCCCTCAATGCTCTTTCTCTACCCCTGTATGCTTGACTATAATTCAGTCGCACCCCATATTCTCTATACAGATCTCTTCTAAGTTCATTAGCATTCTTGTCTATATTACACCTCAAAGAATCTATCATGATTGATGATGTTAAGTTTGACCCTCTAGAGTGAGATACAACCAAGCTGTCCTGTGCATAATGCACATGCTCACTTCTTAAGGTTCTAATTATTAACAACTCAGAATCTTGTCTTTGTCCCATTGAGTATGCACCCATATACCACGGGCATCCCTCCGCCATACACTTCACAATGATCTTTTGTTGATTGTTCTTCACAAACTTGTATGAAAACTTCACAGCAATACTGTACCTATACAGTGCTTGCCTAAGAGCCACTGCATTAGGAAAAATCTGTCCTTCTCCGATAACCAAACCCTTCCACTTTATTGAATTCATTTCCGGAATTGGGGTTGGCATCATTTCTGAACCACATGGCAACAATAGTGGGTCTTCACTAACCACATTAGGTGGAGACATGGACAATGTATCTGAACCTCCGAACAAGTCTTCCATCCTACATAACAGAACAGGTCAAGGGGTCGTTAATGACAACCTTCGATCACTATAATAACAACTTATGCACAACAGTTGACAATAGCTAATATTACTTCGAAATTTAAATAACACAACTTACACATGTTGCTCTTCTATTACAACATCCCTTGTTAGTTGTGAATTTTGATCTCCATTTTCTCCTATATATACATGACCACTGTCGCCATTGAAGTTAATCAAATGTTCTACTCCTTCATCATCTACAAGGTCCACAAATGTACACTCATCAAAAGTTACTGTGAATTTCATAACCATTCCATTACTTTCTTTTCCCACAATTGATGCCACCATTGTTCTAAATTCTCCATATGATGTCCCTTCTTTATCATTCTTGTTCTCACACCACCTCCAACATACTGCGTTTCACCTTCTACACCATTAATAAATTGTCCTCCTATATGGAGGTAGCAAAACAATTGCTTTGCACTGGAAGTTGCCATCCTGGATATCAACCTGCCACAATCACTTGTTAATAACAAGTCATACAGTTATGTTAACAACCTTCGATGTACCCATTAACAACACATTTAACCATCGCATTTGAGGGGTTACAATAATAAATATCTGTCATTTTCCACTCATTTCCATCAGCAACACAGCATCATTGCCCGAAAAACAGAGCATCATTCACCGAAAAACAGAGCATTGCTTTCTAACCATAGCCACACATAGTAAAACCACACCTAACATGATTAAAACCACATATGACTAAAATGAGCCTCCCTTGATATTTCTAGAGAGCTTAATCACATGCTTAATACCAACGTATAAACACCCAATCAACTTTTCAGACCAGCATTAAAGCTGCGACTGGTTGTTAATAACAAGTCATACAGTTATGTTAACAACCTTCGATGTACCCATTAACAACACATTTAACCATCGCATTTGAGGGGTTACAATAATAAATATCTGTTATTTTCCACTCATCTTCATCAGCAACACAGCATCAGTGACCGAAAAACAGAGCCTCATTCACCGAAAAACAGAGCATTGCTTTCTAACCCTAGCCACACATAGTAAAACCACACCTAACATGATTAAAACCACATATGACTAAAATGAGCCTCCCTTAATATTTCTAGTGAGTTGAATCACATCTTTAATACCCACATATCAACACACAATCAACTTTTCAGACCAACATTAAACTTGACACTGGTTGTGTACAGAAGAAGAGAAATGTTGTTAATGATGAGACGTACCAAGAAGATGAAGAAATAATGTCGCTGGCCTGCGATGGAGTACCAGCGCATAACTCCCTTCTTTCTTTCAGAAGCTTCTCTTCCTTGTGCATGCATAACAAACAACCGCACTAAATGAAGCCAATCAGCGTCTCTCCCTCTTTTCTTTCCTTTATCAATGACTGAGGGCAAGTACGTAATATCACAACTCAAATTATTTACCCAGAGGTCCCTGGGGACTTATGAGGAATTTGGGGATTTCATGGGACCTTCTGGTAGTAAATTGTCTTCTGTGGGACTCTACAGTAATTTTCCCAAATTATTTCTGGCCACCAAAGCTTGTTGAATTTTCCAAAATCCTGTTGTTAACTGCTATAATGATGTTGTTAACTGCTATAATGAAGTTGTTAATAGCGTCACAAAGTTCTTAAACCGTTATACTGAAGTTGTAAAAATTTTTTAAAAAATTGTTTCCAGCCACCGAAGCTTGTTGAATTTCTTAGAAAACCTGTTGTTAACTGCTATACTGAAGTTGTTAATAGGGTTATAAAAGTTGTTAACCGTTATACTGAAATTGTAAAAAAATTTTAAAAAATTGTTTCCGGCCACCAGAACTTGTTGAATTTTCCAGAAAATCTGTTGTTAATTGCTATATTGAAATTGTTAATAATGTTACAAATGTTGTTAACTGTTATACTGAAGTTGTAAAAAATTTTAAAAAATTATTTCCGACAGCCGGAGCTCCGGTGACCAATTGTCGGCCAGTCGTCGGAGCTCCGGTGACCAATTGTCGGCCAGTCGTCGAGCTTCGACGACTGGCCGGCCAGTGGGGGCTTTGGTATTTTAAAAACAATAAATAAATGAAGGGTACTTTGGTATTTTCCTTTAACATGATAATCCCAATTTGGTCTCTTGAGACCAAATTAGGATTTCTCAAATTCAACAGACTATCTGGGAATTATGAAGTTCAAGTGGTATTTTTCTGTCTTTTTTCCTTTATTTTTCCCAAAATGTTAATCTCATTAATTGTCACTGTCATAAGAGCCTCCAAACAATCAAAAGAGTACAAAAATAAAGTTTAATTATTAAATTTTTTTAATAACAAATGATCATTCTGAACATACTATCATTTTTTATTCTGAAATTTGTTATTACTTACTTTTCACTTGTCAATAAATTTTAAAATAATTAAATCTCTTTTTTAAGACCCGATTGTAACTCTCCTTGAAAAGTTTGGCCAACAAAGTAAAACCAATAAAAAAAAAAAAGTGTTTAAGTTATTAAATTTAGGGTCAATACTATAAGTCTATTTGAAATACCTTATAAATACAAGATAAATATGTGAGAGGAGCTCTACCAGACTTAGCTGAAAAATATTTATAAGTGATTTTAAATGTGATTCATAATAAGGCCTATATATACTTCCTTAAATTTAATGTCTTAATATCTAAAATTTGAAACCAATAGTTTTAGATTTAGAGCCTTATTTTAATTAGAAAAAATATTTAAATGAGTTCAATATCCAAAATTACTTATTTTAAATTTTAGGAATTAAAATAACTTATCTTAACTTTTAAAGATCAAAGCAAAAAAAAAAAATGTCAAACGTACTCATATTTAAATTTAAAATTATAAATTGCATCTCAAAAGGGGAGAAGGAAAATTATATTAAAGTGATGTTTGGAAAACTGTAATTTCTAAAAAATTATTTTATGCAAGTTGAATTAAATCTTTTCTTACATCCTTATCTCATCCTTATCTCGTACGCCTTAAGGGTTGCGCTTTTTTTTTTTTTTTTTGACCAGCTACGCCTTAAGGGTTGCTAAACTCCCCTGAAAAGGATAGTTTTGACAAAAACAAATTTATAATCAAAACTCTATTGCGTAACGCACAATGAGAACCAATTAATTTTTTGAAAATATGGCTTATAATGGGAACAGGCGGTGCCGAGGACAAGGTGCCAAAGATTGAGTATTTGTGTGTATGTGTATGCGCGTTTTTTTTTTTTTAATGATTGTGTTTATACTTTATGCTTTATAATTATTTACTTGCTTTTATAAGCCTGTTCACACTGTATGCATTACAATCTTATTTTATACTCTTAAGGTTCCTATCTATCACCCACCGTCCAAATTAAAAGTTATATACAATCTCCCGTCTTTACTCTTTAATATTAAATTTAGTTTGTTGTTTAGTTTAAACTACAAACCATATTAAACATTACCTTTAATTTTAATATGGTTACAATCTAGTAAACGGAGTCAATTGTCATTACATGTTTTTCATTCTCATCATATTTTTATGAGTTAATATAATTTTTAATCCCTCAAATGTACACTAATTTTGATTTTGGCCCTTAAGTTTTCTAACCATATGTTTTGGTTCCTTAAAAGGTAAAATAGTCTAAATGTGAATTAATATTTTAAATAGAAAGAAACTTAAAAAACCGAAACTTATGATTTGAAACTTAAAAGACCAAAATTAAAATAAAGTCAAACTTGAGATTGAGGAACAAAAAATTATATTAAACCTATTTTTATTCTATCAAGGCTAATAATACAGAAACATTCACGTATTATCTTAAACATAAGAGATTTTATATATTATTTTATTCTATTCCCATTTCACGCCTTTTATTAAATAATCTGTTATAATCCATTCCAATGTACATAACATATCATTCGAGCATGTGAAGGCATGTGATGAATATTGATGTACCCATGAGGACAGTACATATGCAACAAAAAAGAGAGTCATCTTAATATAATTCCGGATCATGAGATTTCAGAGCAGCAAAAGCTTCCAGTTTTGAACCATTTTTTGCTGGGGGGAAAAAAAATTAAACATTTACATACCAGTAGACTAAGGAAAAAGTAATTCATATGATGCATTCTAAAAGAGATCATGAATATGTAGATAAGATGTGAGCCTTATCCACAATTCCTTTTGTGTTATCCTCTCTTTGTGAACTTATGAATGTAGAGAATCCAATTGTGAGCTCATGCCGACCACAACAATGGCTGCAGTTGAGAGCTTGTCTAAATTCTCTTGTAAATTTTCCAGTTCTCTCATGGATGACCTGCCTTTGACTAAAACTAGGCATAGATCAGTTGAGGATTTTAGGCATTTGAGGGCTGCCTGAGTCAGTCACAAGAGCCATTCATGAGGTGAAATTTTTTCTTTTCTTGGACCTACCTTCCTCGGCAAGGGACCAAGCCTTGGGGATTCAGATGACAATTGCCAGCGGATTGAGATGACGCTTACCAACGGATTGAGGATTGTCGGTGAAAACTCTGGTGGCTTTCAGCATGTTTATTGAATTTCTGTTACATTCCTATTATGAGCACAAGTCCAGAAGGTAAACCCATCCCAAAGTACTAGCCTGTTGGGTGAGAGATCCTAACCACATTTCACTTATGAGGTTCCCCGATGTGAGACGTGCAATGCACTCCTGTTTGAGATCAGCTCTACTTCATGACACTTCACTCAGCCTATGGCCAGTCAAAATCCTCAGTTAATATCAGCCTTTAGTGAAAGCGCCAATGTCACAAGCATAAGTCCAAAGAAAGAATCAATCCCAAAAACTAGTTTATTGGGTGAAAGAGCCTCTTGAACTTATATATCACACTTCACTTGTGAGACTCTTCAGTTTGGGACTCGTAACAATTCCATAATACAAAGCCTGAAATGAGTGTCTCCTTGATTGAATGATAAGTAGAAAGACTTTCTTAGTGAACGCCAACATGCTTGATTGAGATTTGAGAACCTTCAAGACCGAAAATCATTAACAAGTGGAGGAGCAGGAATTATTGGAGGCAAGAATTTTCTTTTTACAAATTTATGTTCCAACAATATAGCTGCGGTTGGCCGTTTTTCAGGGTTAACTTGTATGCATCTTTGAATAAAATCTCGAGCATCTTTCGATATTGATTCAGGAATTGGTGGAGGTTCGCCCCTGCCAATCCGAAATAATGCTTGCATCTGTCATAACAGGGACAAAATTTACATATCAGCTAGTTATTTACTTTTAACATAAAGTGAATAGTCCAAGAAGCTAACTTCACCACAAGTATGAATCAAAACTTAAAAAAGAAATTTGAGGGCACGGCAAGGTGAAGGCAATAGAGGAAGAATCATGTTTCTGTTACGAGAATCAAGGAAAACTAGGAGAAGACAACACTATATGATCGAAGGAAACCAAGGGGAAAAAAAAAAAAAACAACATACCCCTTCCAATTCAGAGTAAGGAGACTGTCGAGTCAACATCTCCAAAACTGTACATCCTAGGCTCCATATATCGGCTGCCGGACCATAGCCGCGGCTCTTTAAATTTACAACCTGGAATCAAAATCAGTGTCGATCGAGTTAAATGTAGGCAAGACCCAATGTAAAATCCACATAATGCATTCCAGAAATTTCAAGCACGAAATTGTAAATCTTCCCTATATGAAATTACTAGAAGTATATTCTTCAGTAGGATAATTTACTGCGAATTGAAATTTATATTTACAACATATTAGAACTTCAGCATGCGTGGGGGTAAGATTGAACTATAAATTAACATTGAAATTAAAATAATTAAATGATCTCATTTTAGTTTATCTATCAGAAGAAATCATATCAAATAAATGAAGCAAGAACAGAGCCAAACCTCAGGGGCCATCCAGTAAGGGGAGCCTTTGCTTGATCTAAGGTCATTAAACTTAGTTGCCTGTGATGATGAAACGAAACAACTTTAAGCATTAAAGACCATCCGAAATTTCCACATAGGGAAAAATTAGACTCTAGAAGAATTCTCTCAGTGTTTGCCATTAACTTGTCTAATAAAATGGTGTTTTTGAAATATCCAAGGAAAAAACTCATCAGTCAATTTTACTGGAAAAATTCCTACCAAACCACTAAAAAATTTCATACTCAAGTATAATTTAAACCAAAGGAAAAGAAAGAAAAACAAAACAAAACAGAGGATAAAAGGAGAAATTCAATTTTTCCCAGAAAAGGGTACCTTTGCCAATCCAAAATCTGCAAGCTTTACTGATCCGCTTGCATCAACCAATATATTAGCACACTTGATGTCCCTTAAATTGAAAAATCAGATATGAAACTTTAGAATGTAGCAAAACCACGTAAAATTGAGATATTTTAGATATCTATTTCCAAGTAAAGCATTCAACTTTCGTCTAAGGAGTGTTCCCAAGTTCCAGAGAATGGGCCTTAACTATAGAATGATTCCCCAAAAGCCAGGAGAACAAACAAAATCTGATTGGCTGGTATCTTTTTATAGTTAAAAGTCAAGCATTTTCACTCTTCAAAAAAGCATTTCTATGATAGCTGCTTCCTACTAGATGAGAAGTTAGATTTCATCTGTAAGGAAACATATCATCATATGGCTTCTTACCAATCTCCTTAATACAACTATCTTCAAACACAGATTTCCTAAACAAATTTTAGAAGAAAAGCCATTTAATTGATAAGAACAAAAGGGGAACAAACTCCACACCTTAAATTGGTCAAGTTTGATGATACAATTTATGAATTACAAAACACTACAGATACTATATAATTATTGCTCAGTGTCATCATTACATCTAGAGAAATATTAGTTGTAAGGAAGCCATAATCATATAAAACCATGGACCGAGATATTAAATTCTGTAGCTTCAAATAGCGTTTTATTCTTCAGGAACTGTTAAAGTAACCTTTTGCTACAACATAAAGATGCGAAATGAACATCCATTCAATCTTCTCCGCAGAACAACAATAGACCTAGACAAAAGAGAATCTATTATGATCAATTCAATAATTTTGCTTGAGTTACCTGTGAACCACATTACAATCATGAAGATACTTCAAGCCACTTAAAATCTGCCGTGTGTATGCAGAAACTTGAGAATCCCTTAAATGATACTTTCGATAGAGATTTGCCAAGGACCCTTTTGTTAAAAGCTCAAGGAAGATATATAGCTTACTTTCATCCTAATGAAGACAGCTTATAATCAGCATACTAAACGAGAGCATAAATGAAACATTTCAGCTGCAATGTCCGTTAAGTAACATAACCAAGCATTAAAAACTTCTGGGAGAAGGCCACAGTAAAATCAGCCTGTACCCTATTTACCAAGAAAACTTGACTAAGATAATCAGAAATAGAATAGCCAATCATTCAGGGGAAATTTTCAGGCCAAAGAAAAATCATCATTGATGGAATTTGACATGTTTAGTCCGATGAACGCTCGCTTCAGTCAAACATTAGAAGGAAAAAAGTGCAGGATTAAAAGCTGATATAGCAAACATTGCAGAATGTCTTCCCTATTTGCAATTCAAAATGACAAAAAGATGAGGAAAATTGTAGAACTGAAAAAGTCACTAAGTGTGGATTTCCTGTTCAAAATTTGGAGACAAAAAAGCTCATAAAATGGTCTTACACCGCAACATTTTCAAATAAAGGCATTGTTTTCACAGTCCACATTTTTTGTATTTGGTTGGGGAATTGGGACATCGGTTGAGAGAAAGTTTATTTCTGTTATCATGTATTGCTTATAACATCTGAGAAGAAAAGCCAACTGATAATCAGAATACCTTATCTGAGCCAAGATATCGAACTATGTTCTCATGTTCAAACCGACTCAAGAGAGATATTTCCTGAAAAGATGGGAACAAAATATTCTCATTGTAAATATTAAATAAGGAAAAACTTTATAGTAAGCTATGATGAGAAGATTAGGCCTTTTCACCTGCTGAAGTTGGAAAATGCTCTGTTTGCCCTGACTTCCTTCATCCAGCAAAGAAACCTCCTTCACAGCAAAGAAGAACCCATCACTGTAGAAAAAGAAAATGCATACGTTACCTCTGTCAAGCAATAAATTGAGGAGGTTATAATACTAGAAATTGAAAATAGCTTAATAAAAATACACTTCCATTTTATCATGCTTAGACAACAGGGCTAGCCTCCCATGACACGAACTAGTCATAAACAGGCCAAAGAAATGTAGTCTGCACCTGCTCACACTGACCCACAAGTTAAACAAGTAAACCTATGAGCAGGTAGAGCAGTATGACTCTCTTTCTATATAAATAAGCGCACACAATGCTTCACAAAACATGTCATCACTCCCATGTAACCTAGAAATAAATAAATATATATTGTGATTTTTGAATACTCCAGATGGGAGTACTGACTTGCACAGTGAAGCATTTTGTGTGCCCATTTATAAGCATGAATTAGGTTGTATACAAATACTGGTACTAATTGTTAAGACCAGCTCACTAATGATCACACGCCCTCAATGTTCCAACAATAACCATCCCAAAAAATACTCACGAGAGGACAAGCCTCACTTCCTCAGCCCTCTACTGCAATTTTCCATGATGAATAAAAAATCACCATCCTCATAAGGAATATACTGAAATGCGGCACACTAACAAAGTTCTCCTTATAGAAGGCAAATCAAATACTTCCCCTATATTGACAAACAAGAGAAGCACCTTTTCATCATAGTTAATTACTTTCCAAGCAATATAAGCCATGGTGATTTAGATAATAGGGGTGGTTTAATTGGAAAGGCCAAATCTACAGGAAGTCTTGTCCTGTACCATAACAATTTCAATGCAATATTTTCATCCCATTTTCCAAGTAATTATGAAAATCCTAGTAGCATATCCAACACCTTCGGTTGCTTTAATTAGAAACGCATCAACATATGTTTAATGTAAATTAATTTAAACAATCAGGTGGTTTTCCTTGAAATGTAAAGTGTGAATTGAAAGGTGACGGAGAAAAGTATACTCACCTCGTAAAGCCTTCATAAACCGTACCAAATGACCCCTTTCCCAGAATCTCTCCCTTTTGCCAACAGGAGAAAGCGCATCTAAATGACCCATATGGTGAGACGTTAAGAACTGACTCATCAACCACACCAGTACCCTTATCACCACCACCACCATCTTCATCTCCGTCAACAGCCTCCTCATTTCCTTTAGGGACCCTCACTTCATCTTCGCCAGTAGACCTAATGCGTCTAACTTGAATTGGAAAATCAGTAACCCTGTTAGCGATTGGCCGCCGCACCATCCCCGGCGGCGGAGGCAATAGAACAGAAGGCCTAACACTTTTGATTACTCTACCACCATCCTGATTGGACCCCAAAGCATTCGAATTAGAATAAGCAACAGTAATCTTCCTCTCCATCCCAGCTTGCAATTTCTTACCTTTTAGCTCTATATCACTATTAATTTCAACCCGGCGTTGAAATTCAGCAGGAATTTGAATTTCATCTCGTGCTTTTTCAATCAGTGGGTTACTATCACTATGGATAGAGCGAGCCTCTCGGGCTCTCCATTCTGCAGTTGGGATTTCAAAGTCTTCGGGTCCAGAAAGTCCTAAACCGCGAAAAAGAAGGTCAACCTCATCGTCGAAGCCCTTTAACCTGTAGCTGGTTTGGCGTAAAAGGTCAAGAGAAGCGACTTCGTCGTATGAGGTGGTGGGAGCTTGGTAATCTATGTTCTTCATGGCGTTTCGGCGCTCAAGCTTGGTCTGCAAGGGCTTCCGGCGCTTGGCGTCCATTGCTGGAAACTTTCTGAAGCTGTGAAGTGAAGCTGACAAGTTTATTTGAATGTCTTGAAATCAGGGATGAGGAAGACGTCAATGACGGCGTCGCGGGAATGCCGTTGGATTTGTGCCACGTGGCAAGCACGAGACGAGAAGAAGGGGTCCTCGCGTGGCGCCAAGATGGACCAAGCCGTTGCCCTCCTTGGCGCGGCTTCTCACCACTCCACTGACGTTTCCATCCACTGCGTCTCCACTTCGACTCTACAATAATTGTTTGTAACAGACGATAAAACACAAACTGAAATGGATCATCGTGGATGGCTATGAAACTGAATTCCAAACTTAAAGAAAAGCAAGAGGCGGAGCACACGCTCTTATGGGGTGATAGATACATATGTAGGGCCCACAAAATATCACCAGTAAAAATGTATTTCTTCTAAAACAAAATTTATAAATAATCAAATGTTACCATTTTACATAATCAAATTATCTTTTTATTAGAAAATTGAAAGGTAAAATAATATATCATGTTAAGAATTTAATGGTGTCACTTGTGATATATAAATAGAATAAAAAACTTTCTTGCTTTATAAATAAAACTAGAGAAGTAGTTTATGTAAATTAAAATTTAATGATATGATGCATAAATAGAACCAAAAATTTTCTTTCACTTTGCTTTGTATGAAAGGTAAAATAGTATATTCACTTTGAAACTTTAATAATGTGATATATATAACTGGAACGAAAATTTTTTTACTTTACATTATGAATAAGATTAAAAAATAATTTATATAAGATAAAATAGTATATTCATATTAAAAATTTAACAATGTAATATATAAATACGACAAAAAATTTGTCACTTTGTTTTATAAATAAGATAAAAAAAGTAGAAGTTTATATGGTGTTTTAAAAAGGATGATTTTATTGCTAGAAAAAAAAGGATAATTTTATTATGTAATATAAATAAATTTTGTTTCGGAATAAAAATATTTTGTACCGGTGATATTTTGTTGAGCCCACATGTGTATCCATATCATCCCCAGGAGCCTCTTGCTTCTTTTTAATTAATTTTAAAATGTAATTTTATAGCCACTCATAATAATCCATTTCACTTGCGTTTGTCGTGGAGCCAAAGTGGAGGCTCAATGGATGGGACCTCAGTGGAGAGAAACCGCGCCCTTGCCTTGCCCCCTTGCGCTCTCTCCTGTTGTGTTTTAGCGGTTTTAAGTTTTATATTTTTAAAATTTAAAATATGTTTCTTTTACATTCCATTTATTTCAAAATTAATAATCATGAAATCATAGCAAAATATTTAATTCATTTAATTTAATTTAATCAATTTAATGAGTGAGAAATTAGTTTCTCCATTCCCCGCCCTGAGATGCTCTCTAAAATTTTTCCTTAATTTTTTAGTGGATTAAAGCTATCTTAGGATTTTTTCTTTTCCCGGAAAAGTCCTTCATTGAAAGTAGGATTGTGTTACTAATGGGAGTTGGGCCTAGCAGAAAGGGTTAGTCCCTCACAATGTAGCGAACCAAGGTTCGAATCCTTGCTGGGAGAGCTGCCCATATTTAGTGCTCGATAGTATCTCGAATAGGATTGTCTCTAATAAGAGGATACCTATGTTTTAGCACACAAAAAAAGTAGGATTGTGTTTTTTGGGGAAAAGAAGGATTTTTTACTTTATGTGCGGAAAAAAAAAAGAGTCCCACATTTTATTTACTGAGTTTAATTTAAGGAAATTTTAGGAAGAAGCTTAATTGTGTTTTAAAGATAAATGATAATTTTTTTTAAAAATGTTAAGGGATAATTAATCCACAGCTCCTTATAGTTTCAACTAATTTTGAATGAGGTCCTTATAGTTTTTTTTTCTTTTTATTAGGTCCTTATACTTTCACTTGTATTTAATTAGTTCCTTGTATTTATTTTTCTTTTTATCAAATCCTTATAAGTTCACCTTATTTTTAATTAAGACCCTGAATTTTTTATTCTTTATTTTATAAATTCTAATAGTACTATTATATAAACATAAAATAGCATATATTATTTAATATTAGTTTATAAACAATAATATTCTAAAGATATTGAATTATTATAATGATTTTAATTTTTCAGCAAAAAATTAATTGTTCTAAAAAAATTTCCTGAATTAATTAATTCTCTTACTTTTTTATTACATAATTATTAATTTAATTTAATTATTAATATTTTATATTGCAGTATTAATCTATTTAATTAAACTTATATTTAATTAATAAATAAAAATTAAAACTACATGGACCTGATTAAAAATTTAGTGAAATTATAAGGACTTAATTAAAAGAAAATAAATACAAGGGCCTAATTAAAAAAAAGTAAAAGTATAAGGACTTGATAAAAGAAAAAAAAACTATGGGGACCTGATTCAAAATTCGTTGAAACTATAAGAACTTGCAAATTAATTAACCCAAATGTTAATAAATCTCTTAGATCTATAAAATTCACACTTTATTTGATTAAAATCAACGGTATAGATAGAAAACAAAGTCAAAAACACATGTTCTCCGTTATATAAATATATATATATATATATATATTATCATATTAGGTTTGAATAGTTCTTGCATCTTACAAGTTGCAAAATCTGCGTAGTTTGAATATGGTACTGACCCCAAAAAAAAAAAAGGAACACGCCCTAGAAAGGAGGATAATAAAAACCACAATTAAAAAGTAAATATTTTAATATGAACTCAATCATTATTCGCATTTTTTTTGCCAACATCATAATTTTTATGTTTAGACCATAGTCCTTAATGTAGAACATAATTATTGAATTGATTTTAATTTAAATATAAGACTCGTTTCTTATATTTATTAATTTTTCTAAATTATTCTTATTAATACTATATCAACTATAACCAAGTAGAAAAGAAAGAAAGGATATTAAGAAAAATGATTATGGTATTTTAAGAAAAATATATCATATTTCTTGTAATTAACTAACTTATCTAACGTTTGTAATATAATCAAATTAGTTTAATAAATCTTATATCAAGGAAAGAAAAAAATATTAACTTGACATCCCGATATCCATGTTTACAAGTTGACGGTAGAAAAGACATTGAAGTGTGAAGATTTTTGAGACTTTTTCACGACCTTATGATCAAATTTTATACCTCTGGAGTAGCTAAATATATATTTGGTTATTTAACTATATACAAAATTTTAATTTGATTTCTTAATTTTAAAAACTATATTTTTAGCCTTTTAATAATAAAATTATTAAGCTTAAATGATTTTTTTTTGTAAGAATCATGGCTATTTTAAAATATTAAACTTAATATCTTAGTTTTTGAAGATTTTTTATCAACATTTAAGATTTCAATCATTATTGTTTTTGGTTAAAAAAGTAAAAATATACCTTTTAAATTAAGAAATGAAATCAAAATTTTATATAAATTAAATTAAAAAATTAAACCTATATTTTAGCCATATTAAGTTGATCCATTCCAATAGCAGTGGTTCATACTTCGTTTCTCTCTCTCCGGTGTCCAGGAAGCAGTTCGCCTTTTGTTTTCTCTGCTCGAGGCTTCATATGTGCAGTGTCAATGCTGGTTTGATTTTTTTTTTTTTTTAATTTTCATTCTGTCATGCGTATTTGGTTGTTTCCGGTATGTTCTCTCTCTCTCGCGCGACGTATAGGATTTCCATATTTGTTTTTTGAGAAAATTATACTAAGGTCTTACAGAAGACAATTAATTTTAAAAAAGTCTTTGGAAATCTAGAAATGATTCTGAAGTCTTCCCGAATCTGTGTATAATTAATTATAATTGTGAAATTACTTATTTGCCCTTATTAATTTTATTGCAAGTTATTCATTTACAACCTCAACAGTGGCTATTGATAACCCGAGAAGAAGTGGTTGACAACCTCGACAGTGCTCCTAACAACTCACTCTCTGAGATGTCAGGGGCATTGCTAAGGTTGTTAACCACTTCTTCTCGGGCTGTCAACAGTCACTATTGATGTTGTAAATGAATTACATTGGGTTCAAATTAATAGGGGTAAATAGGTAATTTCACAATTACAATTAATTACACACAGGTACCTGGGGACTTAGGAATCATTTCGGGATTTCCAGGGACTTTTTTGAAATTAATTGTCTTCTGTGAGATTTGAGTGTAATTTTCTCTTGTTTTTTGCCCCCTAACCGCAAAGGACTAAAGTTCAATTATATGAAAATTAAAATGGGGTGATATAGGGCCTATTTGTTTCTGTTTTTTGTTTTCTTATTCTCAAAACAATTTTATAAAATTGTTTTTAAAGACAAGTTTTAGAAACAAAAAAAAATGTTCAGAAAATAATTTTAAAAAAATCACATTTGAAAAAAATATATAAAAAATTACACTTTGACAAGTGGTAATTATCACCGATAGTGATAAGTAGTAGGTAGTAGAGGAGAAGAAAAAAAAATTTCTCTAATTTTTCAAAACCAAAAAATAGAAAACACAAAACAAAAACAAAAAAACTTGTAAAAGTTATTTTGGTTTTTTAGTTTTTAGAAACATTTTTTGTTTTTTTTTTGTTTTTTAAAACAATCAACTAAAAACAAATTGCCAAACATGTTTTTATTTTTTCTGTTTTTAAAACAAAAAATTGTTTTCAAAACAAGAAACCAAACAAGCCCATAGTTTCCATGTTTTCTTTTTCTTTTTCTTTTTAATTCCCTTTTGTATAATTCAGAATATCCTCATATAATTGTGGCTTTGAAATTGATATCTGTCAGACTGAGAGCGTTAAAGTTAGAGTCCCCAACAAGTGTGTTTCTTGATATTTGAACTTGTGTTCTCTTCTTTATAAGGGTGAGACTGGTTTACCATTTTTTTTGTACAAAAAAATTTAGATGAGTTAGGTACTAGGGACTCACTAGGCCAAAGTCTATTTCTCGACTCAAAGAGTATTTACATAGGTACCTACAAATCACCTACTAACAAGGTCCTCATATCTACTGTGCTTGTGGGTTAGGAGTCAATTTTTTATCAACAGATTAATGCTTGTTAGTACCGGTTTATCATTTCAACTAACACTTTGATTTAGTTATCATACTTATGTTTGTTAGTCTTTTTTGTTTTTCTTTGGGTACAGAAGAAAGGTACTCCTTACAGAATCCTTGTCCATCGGAGGCCTCAAACTCGCTAGACAACTACCAAAATCACCAGACTGGGCCATACCCATCTCTGCCATAGCATTCGCAACCTTGTTGCAAGCTCTTGGAACATACTGCAGCTGAACTTCCCAATTGAAGTTCAACATATCGCAAA